ATACGAAACGTACTATAGAATTGAATATAATACTACCAAAAGAAAACAAAACTGCAATGTTCTTGGAATACTTATTGCCTCTGAAACAAGGATCTTTAAAAATAAAAATTCACAGATTTTGCAACATGCGGAACGATCACAGGCGTATTGAAAATACCAGACACAAGTCGGCGGTTGTCGTCAATCACGTGTTTTTTTTTACATTTTATATTAATTTGTGACGTTATTTGGAAGAGCTCAATAGAAATATAAAAGAACTAAACCTTGTTTGGAAAGCAATTTGACATTCGTGACGTCAGCACTCCGGCAGTCTAACGTAAACGTATCGTTAATCGCCACTCACAAATATATTCCAGATATGTATAGTGAACAAGTGAACCGTCCGCAACGTTAAATAATTTTGATATTTGATTTTTATCGTAATGTATTTTTGTAAAAGTGAAGAAGTTAGTGAGGAAAATATTAATGATGGAGAGAAACGCGTGCGGATTCGTGAATGGTCACGACACTATGACGGGCTTCTACACACGTATGAGCCCGAAATATGCAAAAAAAGGGGTCAGTTTAGATTAAGTTTAGATTAGGTCTATATTTTTATTAATGCAAAACCAACTAAAACCTAATTCTAATCTAACCTAAACTCACTCCCTCTTTTGCATATTTCGGGCTATTACCTGGGTATTCCTAGGTTTAACCAATATCCCAACATATGGTGTGATATATGGATGGCCCATAAAATTTAAATTCGCCGTACAAAAAAATTACTTTTCACCAATTTTCACAATAAAAATTAAAAGTTATAAATCATAATATTTTTTTATAAAAATGATGGAATAAGGGTGAACGGGGTGCCAAGAAGATACTTGGAATGTACATGTAAATTTATACTCGAATTGAGTTGCCTCACAGGTAAGTATCAGCATATCACAGTATCACAGTTTAGGCATATTTTGAACCCCTACCGTGCATATTTACTGTAGATAAAAATAAATTAAAATATAGTTGGCTTCAACGATAATTTACTTTGCAGCTTCTTTTCATCATACTTAATAAACAACCGTCACAACCACTACTCATAGTATGTACCTATGTATTTTTAAACATCATTATGAGATTTAAGATACATAGGTGCCCATAATATGAGTAGCGGTATTGACGGTTTCATCATAACGGATTTTGTTTTGATGAAAATAAGTACCAAAATATATTATCGATTGCAGCAACTATACCTAGTTTACATTCGGTATGTCCCATTAATATAGAACATTATACCTATGCATACTTTTAAAAATTTGCTACCATTATATTTTGATAGTTGAGTTTTTGAAATTATTTGTTAGCTACTTAAACAAAATAGACCCGAGAATTCAAATCTTTATCATTCAAGACGTCCAACAATTATGAAGTATTCTCAGGTTAAAATTTTTTAAAATTATTGCATGCCTTAAGTATTTGCAAAGTTAACAAAAATATTTCTTTGCATACTTTGCAATTAACATATTTGCTTCAATTTATCAGATCTGCATCATATATCCGAAATTCAGATTGTGTGTGACACAACGAAGAGTCAAAGTGCAACGTGAACGACAAGAAAAATGGCAAGTAAAAAAAATTGTAGTCTTAATTACTAATTACACGGTCCTTCCCTTGAGTTCTCCTGCCTAAAAAATCTATATTGTCTTCCCTAAGATTTTAAATATAAATGATTGAAACTCATACAACTTTACCACAATTTAAACTTAAGATAATTATTTAATTATTAAATCCATAATTATATTAAAATATAACACTTACAAAGTTAATAAATATTAACTATGTCTACTTAATCATTTAATAATTCTGATAAAAACACGCTTCATTATTTATTTTAGAAACCATACGGGCTATAATCATTAATATGACTATATTAACAATACTTAAATAAAAAATTATTCGAAGGAATGCTACTGTATTACAATAAATTGTAAAACAAGTATGTAATAATAACTCGGAACTCGAAATATTATTATTAAAAACTGCTCATCGCGTTATCGATGTCGGCGTCTTGTCACTTTTATTTAGTCTTGTCACTATTATTTTATTAGCCGTTTAGGTATAGCTTAATTTCAGATAATGCAGATTTTAATGTGCCATTTGTGTTTTTTTTATTGGAATTTTTGCATATTTGGTATATTCTCTGAAGTGATTTTAAGTGTTCCTGTCCATTTTTAAATTATTAAAGTTCCTATTTAGATACATTTAAAATTAAGTAATTAGTGTCTAGTATTTGTATTATGCGGGTTTGTTTATTTTTTATCAAATGCACTTTTTTCCCATTAAAATAAACATACCTAGCTTACTAAATCACTAGCTTGCCATTTTTAAATACAGGGTGTTAATTCTAGCCAAATTTCAGGAGGTGATTCTTTGAGTCTTTTTAAGGTAAAAAGTTCATATAAACATGTGTCCGGATGTATCAGTCCCTGAAAAAGCAAGCTGTGATAGCGCTGAAGTCATGATTACTAAATCCAGCTTAATATGGGCTGGCCACGTATGCAGGATGCAAGAAAACCTTGTAGACGGTAAGAGGAAATCGAGTGGACAATTCAAAAGATACAAGGATATTTTCCATGAAAACATAAAGGGTATAAGTATGCAGCATCAGTGGGAGGAAGCAGCGCACAATACAACACGAGATTTTTGAATGTCTGGAGTGCGGAAGAGAGATAACATCACGTATCGGGCTTTTCAATCACAGAAAAGCTCACCAAAGAAAACACCTTGCTAACCATCTTCTAATGCGTGTCAAATACTCGTCAAGGTGATATGTTTTCTCAGTGTTTATAACATATTTTTGGTATTAGAGCTACTACAGTGTGTTTCAAAATACATGTGCCATGGCAGATTCCTCACGTAAAAATAATATCTATTTTCTATATCAACAGTGATTCCACTTTGCTTCGAAACTACAGGGCGTTAAAGTCTTAATTTTTTTAGACATATTGTATAATTACATATATACATTTTTAATACTATTAAAAGGAATAATAACTGAATCGTTGAATCACTTACCTCGTGCATAACATTCCATGTATAACATACAGGTACAGGATGTAAGGGCTTGTAATGGTTCCCGAACGTATACATGTAGATTAGCCACGGAGCAGGTACTAGAAGAGTAAACATATCACAGAGCGCCATAGCCATGAGCACGATATTCGTAGGAGTCCGCATATGCCGTTTCGAGAGCACTACCACTATGAGAGTATTGGCAACGATAGTTATCACTAACAGAATGGGCATAAAGTAACCATAGAGCGGCACCGCGTAAGCGATGGGCATTTCGTTCGTCACATTGATGTAAGTCGGCGTCTCGTTTGTACCGTTGTCGTCCCGATCCTCCATATTTGCTTCACTCTCGGAACGATTTAAGAAAGAGCATGTCCAGGAATCGCAGGTGGCTCCTAAAATTGAGATTGCCTCTGGCCGATGCTCCAGGGATGGATGCGCTCGCACGGGTTCATATTGTCTGATGACGAAGTTTGATTATTTCGACGTTACATCCAACCTGAAACACAAAATTGACTTTTAGTTATACAGTTGGTTATGGGAAAGGTAGTCAAACAATAAAATTGAGAGACGACACCTCTTGTGTTTATTTATCTATTTCTTAATTTGGTTTCTTTTTTTTTTTGAATAAACACAAGGCTGGTGTCCAGCATCTAACGTTAACTAAAAAAATTGTTTATATTTTTTGTAATTCTTGCTGCAGACCCAGTAAGAATTACAACTTGTATTTCTTCTTCAGATAAAAATATAGACAAATTGCAGTCGTGTCATTGTGAAAACAAAAATTAATTATTTTGAATTGACAGTCTTCTCTCAAACTGACCATATATGTATATTGCGATTAGGTATAATATATTGCGTTAGATGACGCTGCTTAAAATATCTCTGAATGTAATGCAGATTTCTTTTTAAATTTAATTTTTAGTCCTTTATCCAGGTCATAGATGGCGCACCCAGAGTACCCAACAATTTTTTTACAGTGTATAAAAGCCTCCATAACAACAACAAGACAAGAGTGTCACCATCATGGATCACTGAGCGATCCCTCCCTAACAAATACAGGAGTTCGGCAGGGATGTGTCTTAGCGCATCTCATATTCAACATATTCATGGCAGCGCTCTCCATTATAGTGGACAGCAAACTGCAGGAAAGAGGATTGGGCATTAGATACAGATATGACGGCGGTCTGTTTAACATAAAAATACTCAGGGCAAAAACACGTAGAAAATTCATCACAGAACTTCAATACCCTGATGACTGCGCTCTAGTTGATAAAACGTTACAGCAATTACAAGAAATGTTACATATACCTTGGCATGCGAGGTTTTGGGCCTTAATGTGTACATTGATCACAAGCAGTTTGGTTTCGGAAAAGGCCAAATATCGACTCTGAAATTCAGCACAGGATTAGCAGCGTCTCAAGAGCATTCTGGAAATTAAAAGACAAGGTTTTCTACAACCGTGGCTTGAGCCCAAAAACAAAACTTGCAGTATACCGAGCAAGAATAATTCCCACCATGTTATATGGAAGCGAAACCTAGGTGTCGATGCCGCGCCGTACCGCCGACACATGAACGCATTAAACAAGTTGCAACAGAGACACCTTTTTTAGACAACTCTTAAGAATCAGATGGTTCCACCATGTCTCAAAAGTATCTGTCCTTGAAAAAGCTAGCTGCCAGAGCGTTGGAGTCGTGATTACAAAGGCTTGCTTAAGATGGGCGGGTTACGTATGCAGAATGCAAGAAAACCGCCTACCAAAATCTCTGATTTACGGTGAGCTTGTAGACGGTAAGAAGAAACCGGGTGGACAACTCAAAGTCAATGGGCGAGTCAATGGATCTAATTAAGGAATCATTTCCACCTGACATCGCGGAGCTTTTCCGAGTGTGCCTGACTGGTCGCTAGTTCTTATGGAACGGCAATTATTACGAACAAACAGGGTGTCGCAATGGGCAGCCCAATCAGCCCAATAATTGCTAATTTCTTTATGGAAAGATTTGAAGAAAAAGCGCTAGAGTCATCAGTTCTGAAGCCCGCAGTATGGTTTCGTTATGTGGACGATACATTTGTTGTTTGGAAACATGGACGAGACAGCCTAGATGACTTCCTTCATCACCTTAATACACAGAGCCCGAGCATAAAATTTACCATGGAAACCGAAGAAAACAACCAACTGGCCTTTCTCGATGTGCTTGTCAAGAGAAATGGAGACCATTTGGATCACACGGTGTATCGAAAACCCACTCATACAGACCGGTACTTGCACAAACTGTCAAATCACCATCCAAGCCAAAAACACGGGATTATCGGAACACTAGCAAATAGAGCAAGACGCATTTGTGCTAAGGATCACATACAAGAGGAACTAAGTCACTTAAATAAAGCCTTTCTTGCTAATGGGTATAATGAGAAAGAAATAAAGGCGGCGCTAGCACCTAGGCAGAGGAGACTTGACGTCAATGAACAGAATAACACCGTTAATAAGGCCTTCCTTCCATATGTCTCCCAGGTCACCGATAGGATTGGAAAAGTTCTCAGGAAACACAACATCAAAACAATATACAAACCTACCCGGAAAATAAAGGACTGCTTGAGACCAGCCAAAGATAAAAGGGTACCATTATCCTCTGCAGGGATCTACCGTATACCTTGTTCCTGCGGTAGCGTATACATTGGAACTACCAAACGTTCAGTAGGAACGAGACTTACGGAACACAAGAGAAGCTGCAGGTTATGGCAAACAGACAAGTCGGCCGTAGCAGAACATGCTCTAAGATATGGTGACCACAAAATCCACTTCGAAGTCACCCAAGTCATTGCCACAACATCTGGATATCATCCTCGTCTGGTCAGGGAAGCTGTTGAAATTCACAAACATCCAAATAATTTCAACAGGAAGGAAGAAACTCACTACCTAAACAGAATTTGGCATCCAGCTATATCTAGGACCAAGGTAGCAGTACAGAGAAGTAGACCAGTTCCGGAAGAACCACCACCGGAACAAGCCACGCCCCCTCCGCCGACGCATAAATTCTAACCAACGACGGCCTAAAACCCGAAAAAACAAATTTCCTTCAATGGTTTTATAATTCGAAACCCTCTGTTTATTTATCTAGCAATTCTAGAACACTCTATTTAATTTGAAAGTCGATTAGAGAGAAAATAGTATGATTCATTGGCAAGCGATATAAATATTTGTGATCAGGTAAAAATGTGATGTAAGAGGAGGCTTAGCTTGCCGGCGCGCGGCAAGTCAGTCAGTAGTAGACGGCCGGCTGTTAAGTAGTTTTGTGTTGTGTTTTGTCACAGAGCTGACATTTGGAGGTTGCGAGTCTTTGGACTAAGGTTGAGAGTCCTTTTGACTATTAAGGGTACGAGTATTTTGACTATTAAAGCTACGAGCCTTTGACTATTAGGATGCGAGTCTTTTTGACTATTAAGGATTCGGGTCTTTAAGCTTATTAGGATACGAGTATTTAAGACTATTAAGGATGCGAGTCTTTAAGCTTATTAGGATGCGAATATTTCAGACTATTAAGGATACGAGCCTTTAAGCTTATTAGGATGCGAGCATTTAAGACTATTAAGGATGCGAGTCTTTTGACTATTAGGACGCGAGTCTTTATGACTATTAAGGATACGAAGGATGCGAGTCTTTTGAGTACTAGGATGCGAGTCTTTATGACTATTAAGGATGCGAGTCTTTTTGACTATCAGGGATGCGAATCTGTTTAACTGCAGATTTGCGTCCGAGTAAAGCCTCTATACTTATTTCAGGTGACACCAGCTAGTTGTTGAAGAATAACCAATAGATCCGAATAGTATTTGAATTAGATGGAAGATATGGAATGGGATATATTGAATAGAATACCAGTGGCTAGGGGGCGGAGTACCCCCGGGTGAGTTTTCCTATTTAACTCTCAATTTTATCCAGATCAGTAAATGTTTGTTTTGCTATTTTCATGTACAATGAGAGCCTGAGTAAGCCCTAGAAATAAGCGATTTTACACGTATTTTAACGGAATTTTAAATTATGTCTTTATTTTCGAGAAAATTTAGTCCAGACATCAAAACCTTAAAAATAAAGAATTTGTCTAAAAATGTGCTACAATACCGATATAGTATAATCATTTATCTTTAATTTCCTTCTTTAGTTGTGCAAAAATGCCTAGCCAGTTTTACATAAAACGTTAAATGCCGAACGCTTATTTTGCTACTTTTTTAGACTAGTGAAATGGACTCTTAAAAAAATACGTTAAATACCTTACTTAGAAGGCACCTTTTTTTAATAAAAAAAACAACAAAAATTATAAATTTTGCATTAATATTTTAAAATATTTTATTAGGCCCCGCAAAACGCACACAATGCACACAAATGCAAATTTTATTATATTCGGGATGACATAAACTTTTATACCTTTTTTCATTGAATATTGGTTCATCATTCTGGAATGTTTTTACCAGAATGAAAAATCAAACAGTTTTATTATGACACATAAAATATGTCATTGGTTTATTATTTCAACGTTATGAACCTAAAATTCAAAATTGTCCTTTAGTTTTATGGCATGTTATAGAAAAAGTAGCGTAAAAACAGTATAGTATTATAAAAAGAACAAGAGGCTCGTATTTAAGGGAAATCACGAGTTTTCAGTATCGTTAATTTAGTTTTGTGAAAAGAAATTAATGCAAAAATTTAATTATTAATTTAAAGATTTTTTTTTTATTTTTGAATTTGAGGAAATGAAAAGTGAAATCTATTTTTTTTTAGTGAATCGAACCACACGATTCAATTTCTCATATTGAATCGGCTCCTACGATTCGTTCATTTTGAACTTTTACAGCTCATCGTTCAAATGTTATGGATCATTACTTGATTTAATTAGACGAACCTTATTACAAGTGGTGAATCGTATCTCACGATTCATTTTAATACTCGTTCAAGATGAACGACTCTGTCTTGCCCACCTCTAGTACAGGACCATCGACTTTTTAGATAGAAATGTCTATAGTTGTGAATGTTTCGAATGCCTTTCTTCTACAGGGTTGTTCTACCTTTGACACTGAGTATTGTAGCTAAATCATTAGATTTTTACAAATTGTGTTTGGGTTTTGGGTTCGTTGAAACTGCTGTGGGCTAATTTAAAAATATTTTGAATACAGAGTGTCCCAAATAAATAAAAAATATCAAAGTTGTATTTTTTTAAATGGAACACCCTGTATATTATTACATTTTTAGTTTCTACGATTAAAGTAAAGGTAAATTTGATTAAGGTTTATTACACTTAAACCTTTTATTACACTTAAACCGTTTTTGAAATATTTTCAATTTTGTAAAATTTTCATTTTTAGCAAAATGATAATATTATTAGCCCATTTGTATGCAAAAAGAAACCTATTTAACTCTTTGTAAAAGATTATACCATTAATTAAATATACCACCATTATTTCCGCCCAAATACTAATTAATTTACTTACTTAATTATGTTCGTTAATAAATTATTCTAAATAAATGTGGATTTGAATCAGAAGTCAATATAATAATAAGTTATGAAAATGAATGTCTCTGTTGTTATAAATAAGCTCGTAAATAAGAATTTGTCAAAAAATGAAATATCATTTTTACCACACTACATCTATACACTTTTTACCACACTACATTTCTAATACACATACAAAATTCAGTTTTTCAGTATTTGGAGCAATTATTATTAATCAACGCAAACAGTCAATTAATGTAGTTTGAATACTGGAATCATATTGGTCCTCTTTAACAAATATTTAAACAGTTTTTTTTATATTTTTTAAAGAAATAAACAAACTATATCGACAATATTAGAACTTGTACTCTTTAAAAATTTGGTACATCTTTAAAAATAATCTAAAATGTCAGTATTCATGGGTATATTGATAAATGAGTTCTAAATTACAAGAAAATGCATTTTCTACGGAAACTTGAAGAGATAGGTAAAAATGGTATAATACAATTTGATGAACAATTAAATTGTACATCTGATTCTCCTAAAGATATATACAGGGTGTTACGTTTAAATTAAACAAATTGTGCCGTTAAAGCTAGTAATTATTTAAAAATAAATTTTAGATTTTTTTTTTTTTTTTTAGTATAATTTTTATTATTGCAACGTACTTGATCAATAAATAAACTTCAGTAAATATTTGAGTATTAAAACTTTTAGTACCCTTGGAGAAATGAAGCTTTAAAATTTTAAAAAAAAAAAAAAAAAAAATTAGAAAATATTTCAAAAAAAGTTTTTTTTTATTATATAAATTAATAAACCTTTATCAATTACCTTTATTTTATCGTAGAAACTAAAAACGAGGATAATATACAGGGTGTTCCATTTAAAAAATAAAACTTTGATATTTTTTTTGTTATTTGGGACCTCTGTATCACTAATAAAATATTTTAAATTGTAGCTCTAATAGTCCTTCAACGAACCCAAAACTTACCATTTGTAAAAATCTAATCGTTTAGCTACAATACTCCGTGTCGTATGTGGTGAACAACCCTGTATGTGGAATGTTATATATTTGTCTATTTTTCAAATTAAACTATATACACCCTTGAACAAGGAAATATAATTTCCGAAAGCTTGGTGTATGTAAAAAATTGTTTAATTTTCTTTCTTAATAACCCCAAGAATTTTCTTCAAAGTTTTTTGTTACAATTGATTGGTCAAGACTTCCTGCAAAAACAATCACAAACTTACATAAAGTTAAATACAGTTGTTAATAAAAACATAATTTTACAACAGGCAGGGGGTGGATGGGTGGTAATTTTTATGCATTTTGTTATAGAGTGGCTAACACAAGCTTAAAATCGAGTGAATTTAGAATATCTTGACACTCGAAAACATAAATTTATAGAAAGTGATCTGCATTACTAAAAATGCTCGGAAACAACAACGAGTAGAATATTAATAATATGAAAAATATGTCGAAAGGCACTTTTCGAACTAAAAATGTTCTCTAAAATATGCCCTAGGAAACTAGTTCAGATGGGATGAGATGCGCTTAGGTGGGATCATATTTTATCCGGCCTGACTGGTATTTCGTCAAGTATGCAAGAGCCACGCAATCCTGAATTGCTTTTAGGTTTTACTGCTCTTTACGAAAAATATATAAATCAAGTTATGCGGGATAATGTAATGGCACGAGTTAAAAGGGTATAGATAAGTAACCTATATTTTTATTTTTTATCCATTTATACTCTGTTATATTCTGAATAGTAGTTATTTATGCACCAGAGACGTCAGTCGAGGATATTAATACTCGGAGGGTGACAACAAATATTTCCAGTCATGGTATAGTTCCTAGATTATAATGTTTACATACTTACGTGGATATATGAACGCCATAAGATTAGCAACAGAAAGGGTGACATTAAGGGGGACATTGTTATTCTGTCAAGTGATCATTGTCAAGCATCTCTCAAGTAAGTGTGAGTTTTGACGTAATATGTAATACTTTGATGTAATATCTTTTTAGAGAATGATATAACATTTTTTAAACATTACCACTGTGAACGGCAGCTTTTCATCGGTAGAGCAGTCGTGGACACGGTATTTCACTGAAGAAAAACTAACTAACAATTGTAATGAAGTTCATAAAAATTTCTGCACTTATTCCTGGGAGGCCCTGTATATTGTGTTAATTAATATTATACTAGAATAAAAGGGACTTCATTTTCTTTTAATGATGACAGTCAATGTATTTTATTGTTGATTATTAAATCATTATTGTAATGGACTTCATTAGTGTTCCGATTGTTAAATTAAATAAGTTAAATATTTAATTGCCATGTTGTAAGAGAGTTTTGATCGGTTTTGGTCGCTATAGTTTAATGCGAGAAAACAAACCGTTTGCGCCGCTCGTCCTACTCTGCTAGTGCAGGTTGTGTGGAGGGGAGCGTCAGTCGAGTACCTTGGCTGCAGCAGTTCAAAACGACAGTTTGTGGTCGCACGCGAAACAGTGAAGTTGAGTCCGGAGTGCCCCGCCGAGTGACCAGCTGCCAGC